AAAAAAAAAAAAAAAAAAAAAAAAAAAAAAAAAAAAATGTCCAAATTTTGGAACTACAAACCAAAGACTTAAAATAGCTATAATTAAGATATTAAAAGTATTTAGTTGGAAAAGTAGATAACATATAAGAGTGGATAAGAAGTGTTAGCAAAGAGATGGATTCTACAAAAAGAAAAAAGTCAAGTTAGATTTATAAAAACATGACATCAGAAATTAAGATTTTGCTCAACCAGCAGACTAGATACAACAAAGGAAATAATCATTAAACCCGAAGAGGGAAAAAAAATCAACCAACATTATCCAAAATATATACAAAGGAAAAAAGGTGTAGATTTAAAAAATAACAGGTGAAATAAAATATCAAAGATTCTAATGGTCACATATTTGGAGTCACAGAAAAAAGGACAGAAAACATCTGAAGAAATAATGGTCATGGATTACACAAAGTGAATAAAACCCAACAAATAAAAGAACCAAGAGAATTTCAAGAAGCATAACTATAAAGAAAATAAAGTTATCATAACATAGTCAGAAACTGCTGAAAATTAATAAGGAAAAGCTTGAAGGCTTTAAAGCAAAGATAAAAATGAAAAAGACTTATCAGACACTATGCAAACCATCAGACAATGGAATAATATATTTAAAGTACTGAAAGAAAAAAGCCTTAAACATGTAATTCTATAGCCAGAAAAATAAATTTTAAAATTAAAGGTGAAATGGAAACCTTTTCAGACAAACATCGGTAAATCCACTTCTGTCAGACTGGTACTATAAAATACTACAGGAAATCCTTCATAGATAAGAAGTACACCATAGATGGATCCTAACTTAGAATGGTTTGCCTTACAGTTTTCGGGGTTTTTTTTTTTTTTATTTTATGGTAGTCTGAAAGCATATACATTGAGTAGAAATTTAAGTTTTTAAGTTTTGAATTTTCATCTTTTCTTGACTAGCCAAATGCTGCATGATACACTGATATGCTAGACAGCAGCAGTAAGCCACAGCTCTCAGTGACAGCCACATGATCATGAGGGAAAAGAACAGACATCCTATGGTGTACTGTGTTGCTAAGGTATGCTGCTGAGAAGGTTCGGTTCATTAAGTGTATTTTCAACTTACTGATGGGTTTATCAGGATAAAACCCTAATCATAAGTGCAGTAGCACTTGTATAAGGAAATTTGGGACCACACATGGGGAAATAAAGTACAAATAATGTGGGTAAATATATAATATAGTTCTTTTTGCTGACAGTTTTTAAAAAGACAAGTATAATCCAGCAATTCCACTCCAAGTTATAGTTTCAAAGGAAATGAGAGTACATACTCAGATACTTGTACAATGTTCACAGAAGTATTATTTTCAAAGTAGACAAAAGATGGAAAGAACTAAAATATCCATCAAGAGATAAATGGATAAACAGCTTTATATACATACAATGGAACACCATGCAGCTTTAATTTTTCCTCTTTTTTGAGACTCTCACTAGGTTGCCCAGGTTGGCCTCAAACTCCTAGATTCCAGTAATCCTCTTGCCTTAGCCACTCATGTAGCTGAGACTACAGGTACATTGTAGTGTATTCTATCTAACTTTAAAAAGAAAGGAAATGCTGATACTGGCTACCTTGAAAACATTATGCTAAGTGAAATAAGTGAGACATAAAAGTTCAAGCACAGTTACACTTGTATGAGATACCTAATACTAGCAATTCATGGAGACAAAAACATAATGTAAGTTACAAGGTACTAAAGGGGAGGTTTACTGTATAATGGGTACACATTCTGGTGATAACTACACAACACTGTGAATGTACTTAATGGAAACAAACTGTAAACTTAAATGGTAAATGTTATGCATACATAATTTATAACAAAAAGACAACTAAAGCAATAATGGTAATGTATTATGGGCTTTACAAAATGTAGACGTAAAATCACAAAAATAACACAAACGAATATGAATAAGGAAGTGAAAATATTTAAAAGGTTCTTATACATGAGGTAGTTTAATATTATTTGAAGCTGAGATTAACACATTAACTCATCAGAGATCAAAGTGGATCTGAGATACAAACTATTTTGACTGCAACCTCTGCAGAGTTAAAAAGTATACTGTAAATTCTAGAGCAATCATTTAAAAATTTACAAAAGCTAAAATTGGGGCTGGGGATTTAGCTCAGTGGTACTGTACCTGCCTCTCAAGCACAAGCGCAAGGTACTGAGCTCAGTCCCTGGTACAAGAAAAAAGCTAACATTAGTGAGCCAATAGAAGCGATACAGCAGACTCACAAAAATAACCCAAGAGACAAGACAAATAACCAAAATGTATCACCAGTTCCATTATATGTTAATGTTGTGAATTATCCATTTAACCACCAAGGACATTCAGATTGGCTTTAAAAAAACTAGGAATAAAAAAATGTAGAAAGATTAAAAGTGAAAGGATGGAAAATGTCGTACACTACCAATCAAAAGTAAGCTGGACTGACTATATTATCAGAGCAAATGAGACTTCCAAACTAGGAATACTACCAGGGACAAAGAAAATATTACATAAGCATAAAGGGGTCGATTCGCCAAGAAGACATAACAATCCTAAATATTTCTGCGTTCTTCTATGAAATACACTGGTGGAGCAGAAAAAAAATAGGCAAATTCAGTCATGGTTGAAGATTTCTCATCTCCTTTTTCAATAAGCAATATCTTAATATGACAATAATTAAAATGATAAAAAGTATATTCTCTGAACACAATAAAATTAATTAGAAATCATTAATAAAAAGGTTATCTTGAAAAATATTTAGAAATTATATAACATACTTCTATGTAAGACATGAATCAAAGGATTACAAGGGAAATCAGAAAATACTGCAATGAGTTAAAAAAGGAAAACATAAGGCTGGGGATTTAGCTCAGTGGTTCTGCCACCTGTCTCACAAGCACAAACAAGGTCCCGTGTTTGATCCCCAGTACCAAAAATTAATTAACTTTCGAAAAAGGAAAACATAACATACCAAAATTTGTGAACTGGTGATATAAAGCAGTATTTGGAGAAAGATTTACAGTATTTAATGCTTATACTAGAAAAGATGTTCAACACAACTACTTGCACTATCACCTCTAGGGTAATTCCTGATTCTAACCCAAGGAATTTCCTCTCTCCCTTTTGATATCCTCTCTCACTCTCTGCCCCAAGCCAAATGTTTCCATACTGTACCTCTCTTATAATTTATTTCATGCCCAACTCATTTGAGAAAACTGCTCTCATTCTGTCTCTAAATGTAAAGAGTATTTTCTGAAGCTCTCCCTGGGTTCTTATCAGTTACCTTCTTCTGTTTTCAGTCTCTTACCATTACATGTCATGACTACTCAAGTAGACTGCAAAACTCCTGTCTAGGATGAATTATCTCTTCTCAGTCTTTGTAACCCTTCCGGAACTTCACAAAATATTTCTTGATTTTTAAATTTTTTTTATTGATTCACTGAAGTTCAAGACCACACCTTTATTTGCTTTTGGCTCTAACACAAAGACATATTATTGAAAAATATTTTACTATATGTAGTTTCCAGTATTTCTGATACCAAAAAAACTATACATCCCTTTAAAAATAAATTTGTATTACTTTTTATTGGAATTCCTCCAGTCCTGTTAGTAGGCCCAACTCTCTTTACTAAGTCCTTCCATCCAGCCTCATGGCTTCATATGGCATATACAACATACGGTGATGAGACCCAAATTTCTCTTTCTGGCTGAAACATCTCCTACAGACTCCAAGCCTGATGACTATATGTCTAACAGGTATATCAAAAATAATGTGGCAAAAAGGGAATTCTTGATTTCTCTTTACTCGCACCTCTTTCTAAATCTATTTTTCCCATCTATCCCAACTCAATAAAAGCATCAGCATTTCATTGAATAGTAGTATTGTAATTCACAGTTAGGTCAAAAGCAGGAAAACTTTCTCAATTCTTTTTTTATTCTTTCCCTCACTGCCTCCCTAGTTATAAATCATTAAGTCCTGATATTTCCACCTCCAAATATATCCGCTTCCCCTAAAATTCAGATAGACAGTAGACAGTTATGGTTTCAAAATGAACTCTACATTTACATTTGTTTCAATTCAAATTCAAGCTTTCCTACTTAGCAGTTGTGCACAGGTTTCTTACCGTCCTGTGCTTCAGTTTCATCATGTGTTACGAAAGATAAGTAAAGTATCTACTTCATTGGGCCACTGTGAAGTAAGATTTAAATGAATCAATATGATATGGAAGAAAATGTTTGGTGTACGTATTACATCATATAAATGGTAATTACTATTTTTATTAATATCAATACTATTATAACCCTAACACAAACTCTTACCATTTTTTGACTATACTATTGCAGTAGTCACCTAACTAGTCTCCCTCACTGCAAATCTGTCCAAGCTTCTACTTTGCCTATGTGCTAGAGTTTTAAAAAAGATCAAGTCATTCTTGCTTTAAAACACTTCAAAGCATTCCCATTACCCTGGGGCTGAAGACCAAGTTACTCTCCTGCTCAAAACTAGTTTTGCCATACACTTACTCTTTACTCCTTAGCAAAGGGATCTCAGATTACATTAACTTCCCATAACCATCTCTTCCCACACATGTATACGCCACAAGTGCTCAGTCAAATATCATTTTATTCAACAGTGTCAACTTATTAACTGGCTGAGGTGAGCTTTAGGGCAAAGAAACCTGATGAAGAAAGGTAGGAGATTGGGAGCTTTTTCAAAAGGGGTTTAGGATGGAGTTACAACAAATTTTTTTTAAATGAGGGGTGAGAAAAGGGAAGATCTTTGCCTACTTTGCAATTTTACTAAGTGCCCTGGGAGCAACAGACTTTATGCTATAAATCATTTAGACTGCTTTTGGTGTTTATGCTGAACAACAGTGCTCAGTTTTTATGCTTACATAGAAAATTTCACATCTTAACCTACTTTAGTTCAACATAGGGTCTTCCCTCGTGGGTTGTAGATAAAGGAGCACTCAAGTGACCCTTCCACTCTAATACTCCTCCTATTACTACTCTAAGAACTTGCAAGATAATTTCCTATCACTGGAGCTATGGAGACCTCTTTTTTTAGGCTGAGGCAAGGAGGATTGCTGTGAGTTCAAGACCAGCCTGGGGTACAAAGTGAGTTCCAGGTCAGATTCAACTACATAGTGAGACCCTGTTTCAAAAATACAAAAACAAAAATGGCAAGTTTCTGATTATAAAATGAAAACAAATAAACTATATATCATCAAAGAAGATACACAGATGAGAAAGACACATATGGAAAGATGATCCACATCATATGTCATCATAAAAATGCTAATCAAAACAAAGAAACACTACTGCACACCCATTACAATGGCCAAGACCTAAACTGACATCATCAAATAGTGATGGGGATGTGGAGCAAAAGAAATTTTCACTCATTACTTGTGGGAATGTGAAATGATACAACACGCAGCCACACTGGAAGACAGCTTGACAGTTTCTAACAAAATCAAACATACTCTTGTCACACAATCCAGCAACTCTGACCCCTTATATTTATTCAAATGAAGCAAAAGTTTATGCCTATACAAAATCCTGTGCACAAATGTTTACAGCAACTTTATTAATAATTTCTAAAACTAGCAAGCAAGTAAAATATGTCAGGAGATAGACATACAAATAAACTGTGCTACATTTAAAAAATGGATTATTCATCACTGGGAAGAAATGAGCTATCAAGTCATGACATGGAGAAAACTTAAACACATATTACTAAGTGAAAGAAACCAATGTGAAAAGCTACATACTTTAGGACTCCAACAACATGGTATTTTGGAAAAGGAAAAACTATGGAAATAGTAAAAAAAAAATTCAATGGCTGCCAGGAGTAAGGGAGAGTAAGAAATGAACAGGCAGAACTCAACAGGATTTTTTTAGGGCAGTGAAAGTGCCCTGTATGATACTACACTGTTAGATACCACAGGAGACCAGCGTGAAACCACACTGAGCAGGCTTTACATATTATTGATTTGGTTTATGAATTCAGCTATTGATTAAGATTATGAATCACTCCAAGGACTAAGTATGAATTGCTAGTTGACCTTTTGGCTGGTATTTGGAGATAGACTTCCCTGTGCCAACACTCACAACTGAGGTCTCAATGATCAATGAGGCTGTGACATCTCTATTAACAAGGAAACACAGCAGCTAAGGATTTATGACTCTCTGCAACCATTCTCTAAGATCAAATGTTAGCTAAGACAATGCAGGTAGACTGTTAGCTATGACCTGTAAGAGAGTACAGATGCCTTGGTAACTGTGACCTGTCCATCACAAGTATACAGTTACTCCTCTTTTATAGCCTGGCTCATTAAGTGTATTAGTTTCGCTACTCCTACATCTGCCTTCACATCCCCATGCTATGTTGTATAATCATAAACACTGACTAATCCAGAGCCCGGTGGCTTAGCCACAGCTGAGCTAACAGCAGGTGGTCCTTAGCCAGGAGAGAGCTAAATATCAACTCCTGGCCCCCCAGAAGTAATAAATTATCGTTAATTATTCCTTGTTCTTTGTATGTTATTCTTTCATCCTCTGCTGTCTCTTCATCAGGTGACCAGGCATCCCGCAGTGACTGGTCAAGCTATCAACCCAACAACTGGTCAGGACATCACCCGACAAGACAGATGTCATACATTTTCCAAAATTCATAGAATGTATAATATAAACGTAAATCCTACACCAGGCATGGTAATGCACACTTGTAATCCCAGCACTTGAGAGGCTGAGGCAGGAGAATCACCACAAGTTCAAGGTCAGCCTAAACTACAAAGTAAGACCCTGTCTCAAAAAATAAATTAAAAAAGTGAACCCTAATGTAAACTATGGAGTACGGATGAAAATGCTGTGCTAAAGTAGGTCTTTCACTGTAACAAGCATACCATTCTAGTACGGGAAGTCGACAGTAAGAGAGTATGTGTGTATGGCAGGGCGGAGAGTGTTGTATATGGGTACTTCCTATACTTTCTGTTACATTATGTTGTGAACCTAAAACTGTCCTAAAAATACTATTTGTTTAAAAAAAAAGGTTTTCTGGAAAATATAATTGGAACCAAAAAGGTATGATACAATCAACTCTAAAATGTTATTTGACAAAGGTTTTACTGGGCAGTAATAAACAATTTGGATAAAATGAATTGCCTGAGAGCTTCAAAAAGCAACAGTACATTTCTATGGGAATGGAAATGGTGTAGCCACTGTGGAAAACAGTTTGTCACTTCATTAAAAAGTTATCCCAACCACTGTCTACCTAGGTATATACCCCAAAGAACTGAAAATAGATGTGCAATCAAAACCTTGTATTTGAATGTTTATAGTCACAATATTCATTATATCCCCAAAGCAGAAACAATCCAAATGTGCAGTAGCTGATGAATAAAAAAAATGTGGTAATGCAATATAGTCACACAACAGGTTACTATTCGGCCATCAAAAGGAATGGAATGCTGTTACAGGCTACAGCACAGATGAATCTTTCCTCCCTCCACCCGCCAGGTGGCGCTGTGGATTGAACACAGAGCCATCAGCATCCTAGGCAGATGCTCCATCACTGGCTACACCTTCAGGCTTAGATCAATCTTAAAAACATTATTCTGATTGAAAAAAGCCAGACACAAATGGTCATATACTCTATGATTCCATTCATATGGAATATTAAAGATGTAAATGCCAGAAAATAGAGACAGAAAGATTACAGCTCCTGTGACTAGGGTGATAAAAAATATGGAGTGACTTCTTCATGAGTATGCAGTTTCTCTTTAGGGTGAAAATATTCTAGAACTAGATAGTGCTGATGACTGTGTAACACTGTGCATGATTAAAGGACACTGACCAGTACACTTAAAAATGTGCATTTTTTACAATGAAAAAGGAGTAAACTAAAGAGGAAAAAAACCTTGATTTTTTCACTTTCTTTTCTCACTCGTTTTGCATTTTCAATAATGTAAACAGTGCTCTTGTTGACTTCATTGTCAGCTCTGTGTCTCAGCCAATCTTCATATCCCTAGAAGGATAAAAATAACTATGTAATCCAGTTCAGATAATGACGTGACACTGTTAATAAATTTCTATAGTCACCCCCCCAGTCAACAAAAGATACGTGTAATTACAGTATAATTTCAACTCAGAACTTTAAAGACAACGATGTACATTTTAATAGCGAATTTGAAATGTACTTTCAAATATCTCTTAGGTAAATACCTTTATTGTATTAAAATGATCCTCCATTCTTCAGATGAAATGAAAACACAGGCATTAGAGCCTTAATATTCTTTATCTGAGAAGGATTACGCTTTATTCTTCTAATTCTCCTTTATTTGTTATTGTTTTTACTTTTTTAATTTGAAAAAGAACTATTCTGGGCTTTTATTTTTCTTAAATACCTAAGCACTTAAGTATGAATACTGTGCATATTTTAGACTCTTATGCTGATTATTTCCAAGTTAATATAATTTTTCTGCAAATGTAGAAAATATAAAGAGTAAGTTAGGACTATTTTGACAGAAATGAACAGCTAAGCTGGTGCAGTGATAAAAGTAAGTATAAATTGGTGTTCAATTTTTTTAATTAAAAGTAATCATAGAAAAAACACAAAGGTTCATTTTTCTTTGCACTTTTTGTGTGGAATAGATTGCGGCCAAAAGAACTAAGAAAGAGGATGTTCATTTTATTCTTTTTTCTCATTGTAATGTCTGTACCCTTTCAAACACAACTGTTAGAAAAATCTCTTGATCACCTTCTCTCTTTTTCCCCAAAGTTGCTACATCCACCATTCCTCCTCTGCCCTCTTTATGACAATGTTAGGCTATCACTTCAGAGTACATTCTGTGATGCTGATGAAGAAAGAAGGGCCCTAACAGGAACCAGTACTGGGAGTAGAATGAATCAGTAATAGGCTTTGAAAAACACACATGCTGTTCTTGAAACTAGCAATTTTATGATATTAAAGAAAATAATCATAACAACCTAATGGAAAGAACATTCCGAACGTCTTTATTTAGTGGCCAAACACTTGATAAAAACATTCTTACAGTTCCCGATAGGCAAAATAGAAGACCAGATAACCCCAAGAAAGTTAACCTTCTTTCCCTATACATCTAAGCAAACAATCACTTTGCAAGCTTCCATGGAGCACTTTTTTTTATTTAATCAGCTCTTTTTTGTTGTTTCTTTAATAAACTTTATTTTATCCTACCCCCCCAAGCCCCCTCCCTTCCTTATGTACAAAAGCTTTTTTCCATTTTTTTCCTTCTATTTTTCAAAGGGACACTTTTTAAAGGAACTTTGCTAAGTTCTACTTTAAAATGTTTACAAATAAATCAGATCCTGAGGACTGTCCCAGTACATACTAAATTTTGTTAACCCACCCCTTCACCTCTAGTTTCCTGTCTCCATTTTCAATTTCATTTGGAAGTTTTCAAAGGATCTGGCCTCAAAATACTTAAAAGACATCCATGTCACAATCTGTGGCACTTCAAGCTCTGACAACAAATAGAAATAAAAGTCTTCTCTACCCAAGACCCCCTTCAGGAAAGATACTAAAAGTATTTGTACTTTGGAGTTCTGTGCCATAGGCAATAACAACAAAAAATCAACTGGAACAGGAAATTTTTAGCCAGTCATATCGTATTAGAACTATTAATGCACAATAAAAGCTCACCTTCTATTTCCCAACTAAGCTATACCTTCTACCTACTCCATCTTTTATGTTTACACTTCCATACACAGATATTGAGGTGGAAATGAGCAATAAATTAAGGATGTGTCTTACTAACAGTTAAATAGGTTTTCATTAGGAGCCATATATAAACTAAATCCATCAAGGATAATGTCCATGGTATCTAAATATTCTTTGACAATGAAATTCAAACCAGGATGGATAGAAACGAAGACGTAAGTGTAAATAAACTTACCTGTTTAATGGCTGTAACAGTTATAACAAAGAAAAGTGGAAGTCCACTAGTAACTGGGCTAGTTGGTGTGTCTACTGTAACCTAGGTAGAGAAATTAAATTGAAAGTGAAATGAAAATTAGCCACTAATTCAGGCTTCAGTACTCACATGTTACAAACATTTCAGACAGAATTATAGACAAAACATATTCCAGTAGCAGGGTGGATGTTAATTTTCATTAAAACAAAAGCAACCCACACAGCAGTTATTTTAGGAAAATTCAGGCTTAGTTTTAATCCCAGCTTTGACTAATTCCTTTATTGAAATATATCCATTCATTTACCAGCTTTTGTTAAGCAGCACCCAGTCAGCCCCTGTGCTGTTATCAGCCACGTTCTAGAGATGCTGCTTTAAACAGGATGGAAATAAGTCCCTTCCTTTACGTAGCTGGAAGCTTACAAGAGAAGGCAGTCATTACAACAAGTGTGCAAATGCTAAGATCCGAAGGGTAAACAGGAATTAACTAAATCAAAGAGGGATTTCCAGGTACAGTGAGCAGTATATACAAAGTCTCTATGGCAGGAGGGAGAAAGCCACATGAATGAAATAAAGGAAGCCATTGGCAAGAGTGTGGCATGAGATGAGGGTGGAGAGAGAGGCAGGCCCAGACTATGCAGGGCCCTTTAGACCAGAGTAAGGTGTTCATTCTTCATCCCACAAACAATGAAAAAATCTCCGAAGGTTTAGGCAGAAAGAAGTCAAATGAACAGAATTATTCTCAATGTTTTGTGGAAAGAAGATGGATTGGAAGGAACCGGAGTTGAAGCAGGCAGTTCATCTGAAAAGCTACTGCTATAATCCAGGTGAAAGATGTTCTCTGGGACTACGGTGGCAGCAGCAGACATGGAAAGAAACACCAGCGATATTTAGGAGGCAAAATGGCAGAGCTGGTAGTAATTAGTCTAAGTGATAATTAAAGATGTCTTCCAAGAGTCTGGTTAACATGCTTGGGACGATACCATCTTGATTACTAAAACAGAAAATACTGAAAGAAAAATAGATTTGAGGGAAGGAGACCAAAACTTCAGTTTGCCCTCACAACTCAATGACTCTCATCTCTACTCTCCAGCCAGGCCTGCTCAGGCCACATAGAAGTGTGCACATGCGGTTTTGACATGGTCCCATGCCTTCTGAAACCTCTTTTCTACCCCTGAAATACTGGTCCAGCATTCTCCACCAGGTAAACCGCTACTAATCTTTCAAGGCTCAGGGCAAGTATCATCTACTTTTTGAAGGCTTCTTAAGCTCCTCTCGGGTAAGAAAATATCATAACTTCCACTCTATACTCAAAGCACTTTGCTCATGCTACCTGAATAGCTTTGATTGCATTAAGTGACTACATGACTGTCTTCTCAACAATAACATGAATCCCTTAAGGGTAGAAAGCCACATCTTGATCTTCATTGTATGCTAACATTTTTGTTGTGTAGACAATTGCATAGCACACAGTAGGTGCTTGGTACATATTTGCTAAATTGAACAGAAACACATTACCCACCAAATGCAATGAATCTTGCAAGCAGAAATCACTATGCAGTTTATTTTATATCACTAAGACATCAGACCGCGATCTAGAGGGCTTCCTTTTCAAATGTTCCATCACTCAGCAGTGCAATTCGGCCATTCTATACTATATCCCAGATTGGTTTTAAGTAGCAGAGTTAAATTCAGTTACAGTACCATTTACTCAAAACCTCAAAGTGGATAAACAGAAGCACTTAACACCAACAAGGTCACTGAACAATTTCATTGCAATTTTTCTGCTTCATTTTAAAAATGAAATGAGAAAAAAAAAAGTACCTTTAGTGTGGTAACATTTTCAGGGGGCAATTACAGTGAGGGAAAGATTTTCATAGCTTAGAGATTCAAAGATGGAGAAAGGAAATAAGGGAAAAGAAAAAATATGAGAAAATGAAAAAATGGAAATAAAGTATCTGTAAATAGGGAAGGAAGGAGGGGGTGAAGGGAGGGTAGGAGTAAGGGGAAAAATGAGAACCAAGAGCTGTCATGTAAAGGTACAAGATGTCAATGACGAATGTAACTGTACTGTATACCTAAAATGTACCAATAAACTCAATGAGAAAAAAAAGTCTTAAAGATGGAAGATGTAATTTAAAATGTCTAAAATTTTAAATAGGAAACAGTAGAAGGAACAAGAAAAGCCGATCAATCTACTATGCACTCACACTTCAAAGGAGTAAGTAAATGAGGCAGAACTTGTAATCTAGATGATAAGTGATTAAGTTCTCAATTAGGCCAGAACTGGTATTTAACAAAGTAAAACTATTAGTTTGAATTATTTCCAGCTTTGATATATACCAACTCATTTAATGGTACACAATATACTTCCTTCTTGGATGAACAAAGATATGAAAATTTTAAAGTAGCAAATAAAATCTCAACGAGTTTTCTAGTAAAAGCACAGTTTTAGAGATCTAAAAAATCATATAAATCCTAAAATGTATTATTTCTACTTTTAAAAGTCATAATACACTAACCCTTGGAACATCTTTGTTTTAAGCAAAGGTCATTTTAAGGTTAGAAACTTCTTTTAAAGCAATTAAGCTTATAAGTTGAACACCTATTTATGGAGCTCTTACCTGTACAAGGAAAATGATGAGAAAATAAAAATTTGCAATTCTTCTGAACTGTTCAAATAAATTCTTTGGGAGGAAATTCCAAAGTGTATACTATAAAGGAGAAAGAAAAAAAGACTTGAAAAATTCTTATGTTAATGATTAATGTGGTCCAGATCATCATATAAAGTAGTATTTAGTACATCTAGTATTTTGAAAATCAATCCTCACATTATTTGCATACACATTTATTTACAAGCATGGCACAGTTTTTTTCAGAAATGAAGTTTCACTCTAAGCCTTATAACTGCCATCTACTCTCATATTTTTATTTCTTTAATCCAATCTAAAATAGGTTTCTTGTTACATACTTTCACATGGTCCTCTATATACTTCCTAAATAGCACTTATAAGACCAGGTTGCTCATCTGTTAAATATTTTTTCCCTCAACTCCTTGCACAGTGCCTAGTACAGATCAGACAGTAAAATATTTGCATAAATGAATGAACAAATTAATTCCCCTTGCTCTGCTAACCTTTGGAGTCTTAATCATTGTCAGATCCTTCATCATCTCTGTCCCTATGAGCAGAATCTCACATCTTCATGACTGCTGAGAGGTGTACACACATCCTGAGGCATAGAGGGCTTTGACTTTAACAATATACCATCCAGGAGATTGGTAAACGCTTAAATGTCAAATTACACATGGGCACAAGAACAGAATTCTTTCGTTAACTATAAAACCATATGTACTTTCTTACAGATATCTTAAGTTCAAGAAACGAGTCATTTAAAAGTCACCAGATGTTGGATTTTCTAGATGTCTAAAGACAACCACAAATAAGAGTTTCTTAACATACAAGGCTAACTCCGCACTTGAAAGGTCTTCATCCCAATTATATGCATTACATGAGACTGTATCCATTAGTAAGGTGACTGAAAGTCATAGTCACAGACCATGACAAAGTATGTGGGAATTTACTATTACCCTCTCTTTTTAAAACAAAAGTTATGGGCTCAAAGTTCAAAGATTCCTGAGAGAATGAAGATAAAATGGAGGCAAATACATTCAGCAGAGCAAATATATTACAACCAATAGCCAACTCAGAACTGGGGATCAAGAAAGAGCCTTACGGTGGACCATCCAAAAGTAAATGCAAAATTGTGCATGGATGTGCATTATGTAGGGGAAAGCTCCATACTGTTCATGAGATTTCCAAAGCAGCTTGTGAACAAAAATGAAAACTACTAGAAACCATCTATCTCATCACTTTGAAGCCAACATAGTTCAAAATGGCCCTTAACTGCCCTAATGGAGATCAATTTCCTTTAAAAAAAAGTTAAATTCTAACAGGCTAACAATTGATCTTATGACTGTTGACCTTCTGTTCCCAAAAATTAAAGTTACAGTCCTCTCTAGGAAGTAGTGCTAACACATCAAAAGGGAACAGTTTTGTAACTGCTGTTTCTAAACCCTGTTAGTCTGCTACCAGTTTTGTTTGCTTGTTTTTGTTTTTGCAGTGGTAGAGATCATTAACCCTGGAGCCTCACATATGCCAGGCCAATGTGGGGTAAACCCTCAGCTTCATCACCATTTTAACTTATCAAATGCACTGCTTTGTTGAGGAACTCTAGTTACTCCCTTCATCAAGGCATAAGCTATTGAGACCTCAAGGTGTCATAAAGCTCCCTTAGCACAGGTAAACACACAAGAAACATTAAGGGTTTTTTGTTTTGTTTTGTTTTGTGTTTTTTTTTTTTTTAGACAGGATCTCACTTATTTAGTCCAGGCAGGACTGTAACTTGTTGCAATCTTCCTGCCTAAACTTCTGGTGCTGGGATTACAGGCATGTGCCACTGTGCCCAGCTCACATTAAGATGTTTTAAAATCAAGAAATCATAATCAAACCAGATGTGGTAGCATATGCTGTAATTCCAGTACTCCGGGAGGCTGAGGCAGGAAGACTGCAAGTTTGAGTAACTGAGCAAGACCGTGTCAAAATAAGCAATAAAAAGGGGCTGGAGATGTAGCTTAGTATGAAGGCCCTGATTTCAATTCTCAGTACCACAGAACAAGAAAGAAGGGAAATTTGTGCCTTGGTCATGGGCTCCACAAATTTAACTAAAGGGTAAATAAAGATTCACACCTTTTCATAGAGTACAAATATAGTATTTTAATCCAGACCAAGGGAAATATACATTTTAGATTTTAAATTAAAAGTGAAATTGAATTAGAGTCATATACACTAAGTTATTCGAGTTAACCTGTTTATCTACAAAGTATACTGCTTAGCTTGGTCAGGTGCCACAAGTCAAAAACAATGTTAATCATAGAAAAAAAATTTGTGCATAATAGTTGTTTTAGACACAATAATGAGAAATGACATTTTTGTCACAAGTTCTTGTTCAGAAGTCAGTAAATGAATGTGTCACATTACCTTAATATACAACTATACACTTAAAAAAGTAGCTCTAACATTTAGAACATGTTTAAAACTTTCTTCAAAAAATGAAAATACTAGCATTCTAAATACATACAAGGTATTTTTCATCTACTTTGTAAAAAATTAAATAATCGATATAAAAGTGTGACCTTTAAAAGCGAAAAAGTGAGAAAGTTGTGGGTCTTAACCTCAAACATCAATCACTTAACTAGAAACTAAAATCTTATAACTTTACTAAACAATTTTCTATATTCAATAGAGGAAAGTTGACATGATTATCAGCTGTAAGAATCGATTGTTTTATTTAAGTAAAAGGCAGCTTTAGAAATGTTCTTGTATGGAGGCTTAGGGTATAGCTCAGTGGTAGGTCACCTGCAGACCATGTGGTCCTGGGTTCTATTCCCAGCACCAAAAACAAAAGGGAAAATTAAAATTTGTTTTTATCTCTACTCACCAAACTTTCCAATTTAGCATTAGAAATGCTGAAGGAGTAGCTAAGGCTCCAATAAATTGTCCTAATGTGTCTGTATAGCACAAGATAAAGGGAAATGGGTAAAAATGCAGTAGCTATATAAAATAATGAAGTTAGTAGCCAACATACCTATCAGAATGAGCATTGATTTTTCTAACTACTACAACGATTTGGATGAAATGGAATAAAATAAGATTAGTTGAAAATAAGTAACTCATTCTAGTAACTGTTCACTCTTCTAAATAACTGTATGCATTTTATTATCAACTCTCCTTGATATAGGCATTAAATCCAATTTTGAGCATCATAACAGTCACTTCAACTACCAATGTCATGAAGAATGCTCTTTCATTTGTTAAGCACTGCTCTTTACACCATAAATTCAGTTTTAAAAGCAAAAGGAGGCACAAAACAAAAACGAATCAAAATCACAAGATATTGTCAAGCAGTTAAGACTGAAGAGAGGGTTCTAATGTAGTCTACTGATGATTTTGATTTTTTAAATGAGAAAAGCCAGTGTAATTTTAGTTTTGAAACTTTGACCCACGACATAAGTTTAAGCATGAGCATATGTTCCAAATGAGTTAAGTGAAGTTCATTATTATTCCAATGAAGGGATTTTCAGATGAGGGTCAGAATTTTTATAGAAAAAAAAACTGTAGAAGAAATAACCACGAAGGAAGTTAGAGAAAATTTAAAAAATTAACAAAGTGCAATCAATACTCTTTTGCTAAAGAAGAAAATTTCCAAGTTCTTTTATCAACTATGAAATTCTTGTGATTCCCAAAGGTCCCTACAGAGTAAAGTAGTAAGGCTGCAGAAGACACATTTTTTTCTAAAGAAAATATTTGTGTTCCCAGGAGGAAAAAAAAAGAACACTAATTTTTATAAATAAATAAAATTTAAAGTAGGACAAAGTATTATTCTTCAGTGTTCTCCTGCACTAGCAACATTTATTCCCAGCGTTACACTGACATTACTGATAGTGTTTGCAAACAAAAAAAAAGCACCCAATTAAGATAGTTATTTTTATCATTGAAGTGTAGAGAAAGGAAATCAGAGCTTGCTACCAAACTGGAAGGCAGCTAGCATTCTATAAATTGTGTATATATTCAATAATATTCTAGTATAAATGTAAGGAGCTAAAAGATGTGAGGAAGAAAAGGTTCCACTAGAAAACTATTGCTCTCTCCAGAATAGAACTGAAAGTCTCCTTTGAAGAGACTACAACATATTCAAAACCCATGCACCAGAAAAAATCAATTGTTCTGCTTACTGCTGTATTAATAATAATAATCATAGAAACAAAACCAGCAACAGCTATTGTTTATTGAGTTGTTTACAAATACAAACACAGTACTGTTTTATGTGGATTATTTCATTTTATCTTCACAATCCCTTAAAGTAGATTCTATTAACATCCCTATTTTACAAGTAACAAAATTGAGACGCAGACTGAAAACTTCACTTTCAAATGAGGCCTTTGGTCTCAGGGATGAAGCTCTCCCCCGTGACACTGTACACTATGGTCATAGTTATTCATTATAGTATTAAGACTGTGGTATTAAGATTTTATTTTTCTGCTTACTAAATTGCCAATTTCTCTTTCTGCTCAGTAGTTTTTATGAAAAAGAAATCAGTTAATCACAAAAACTATAAATATAATATTCAAAGGAAAAAAGCATGTCTATCTGTGAAGAAATGTTTCTTTATCCTGGTTTAGAAGCATAATTTTAGCTGTCCCATGGGCTGCTACTGCACTGTTTTGCCTGCTGGCAAAATTGAAGATAGATAAAACATGAAAAATTACTCTCTTAAATACATAAAATTTGAGAATTAAAGTGAGTCACACATTCTAAAATGTGAAACACAATGTACATATGAAGCAACAAAATAATGGCCATTAGTTTATTGAGAAAGTTACTTTACCATCATTATATCACTTTACCACCTTTCATAAAGTATTATGGAAAAACCAATTCCACAGGAAAATATTCTATATTTCACATTGATGTAAAAAGACAGACACACACACACACAAGCGCGCACACACAAAAAGGATCCCAAATACCACAGTGCTTTTTTCAGAGCCACCAAGCCTTATAAAGTAGTTTTACGCCTGGCTTTGTCACTCACTATACTTAGTGACCGTGTCACTAATTTCTCTGGGTTTCTCCATGTGCAAGTCAGCAAGCTGAATAAACTGTTTATGATTCTGAGTCAAAGGTCTACTACTAACTGTTTCGATGGATATCATATGTAAGTCCTAATTTCCAGTGAAAGGACTACTATCTTGGGCACAGGTATGCAAACTTATGCTGAGGATAAAATTTTTGCCATAGACTATAAGATAAACAGGAAAAAGACATTTTAACCAAATATACATATGGTACTCTACAAATCTATAGATCTGCTCATTAGGCAACACTGTTTTCACTTGACTTGTCCACATTTTACATAAAAAGCTTCCAAATAAACAATATCTACTGTATCACTACCCAAAGAATAAATCAAATGCATGTTTGAAAACCAAAATGCTTTATTTTTAAAGGCAAGGCTTAATTTTGTGGTTCAGTTCCTAAGTGAACATACAGTGAAGCAAATTACACCAACATTTTAGCTCTGCCTTACCACTCTGCATGAGAAAGTGAGGAAAATTATCAGTCTATTTAATGGTACAAAGAGATGGCAGTGATCTAGCCATCAAACACCTAGCCTGGCTAGCCAGCAGTAAAGATCAGCTAAGTGATACTTGTAGAATGATGGCTACTGGCTACTGGAGCTGACAGAAGTATTTTTACATATAGAGTATTAGCCATTTCACAAGTGAGGACATTTAGACTCAGGAGCATTTAATTTGGCCCTACTGACATAGGTAAATGACTGAGCCAGGATGTAAACACAAGTGTTCAAACTTCTAGGTCAAATGAACTGCCTTTTGGGGGATGCCATATTTGGTACATGATCTGTGTAAGTGCATAACCACACAGTATATGTATATATAAATATATCAGCTTCCTCAGAAGCATAAATATGTTCATTATCTCATCTTATGAACATCTATTGAATTAAAATAAACTTACCTTAGAGGAGACTATTCTGTTATCACAAAATCTCTGTGCAATATAAGTTTCTGTTTCTGAAATTGGACGATTGCCAACAAACACTGTGCGTGTACCAACTCGTTTCTCCTCTCCAGCACACTGACAAAAAAAGAAGAAAAAGGTTAGCTTTTCATTACACTTCTCCATGCTTTCTCCAAGCTCAGAATTCTTGCCTAAACACATTAGGCTATAATCTGAGGAGAGATAGCAGAGGTGAAAAATCTCGTTGGGAAATTCAAAATCCACTAAGCTCTTAGTTACTGACTTGGTGAAGATTAGTAAAAATGTTTCTTGGACCAACTGTTCTGAAGCTAAACACTACTATTCTAATATTATTAAAGCATCTGAAGGAATACAGGGAAATTACCCCAAAATACGATAACCTGGTATACTGGTTCAAGTTAAAGGCCTTTAGCAAATATTATAGTACACACTGCAAGCAGCTATACTCTGATACTGTATAAAATACCCCAAAGACAAAAGCAATTACCATTGATCCTTTCTTGGAGTTTTCATTAGCTAAACTCCTTCTCTACAGGCAAGAGGACTGAAGAACAAGCCACACCAGCACAGAATCTCTTGTAAGTTTTGTTCACCTCAGAAGCAGGCCCATTCAATTTCCAGAAAATTATTTACTAACTATTGTCTAAGCATTGGATCACTTCATCCACTTAAAATCATTTACCGTTCCTCAAATTGTCACAGTTTCCATCTCTCCTTCCTCTAAGAGGATGGGTATATACTTCATAGGCTAATCATAGTCCTGTGATCCTCCTAAAACATGGTACATGTTAATAAATGTGTCTATCTTTTCTCCTATCAGTCTACTATCAATTCATTCAAGTGAACCGTTAGAGGATATCCTAGAGAAATAATACTGTATTTTTATTGTCAGACATTTTTCTTTCATCCACAATCCAAATTCATCTCAACCATCAAGTAACACAGTTAGAAAAGGTTGACTGGGAATATCTATCTGATCTATTATACAACTACGGTACTGTTGAACAATCTTGTCAACTACCTTAGAGAACAGAAATCACAATGTAAATTACTCCTAAACATAAACTAGTTATACTTGTAAATGTACAAGTCAGAAACAGAATGGGTACTTCTATTAATATAAAGATCAACTATTTCTACAAAGAAACTTTGTAATTTTTCACCTTAATAGAAAAGTGCTGCATTTGCAATCTCACAGAACCTATTGTCCTATAAGCCCCATTTCACACAATATATTTCTAATGCTCGTTTTACATTTTTAAAAAGTAGACTCATAGATTCTAGAAGTTCCAATGTAAAGCTCTATTCACCTTACCCTCTAATTTCACTGTAGCTTCACTCTGCTTTTTACTCTTAATGCAAAATAATACATTTTCTTTTGAAGCTGAGATAGTAACCATTGATGGTACTATATTATGCTGGAGACTACCAAATACTTAAGTTAAAAGGAGTGTAACAAACCAAATCCATATTTCCATCCTTATTTGTAAAAGATAATTCAACCTATATATTGAAAAATAAACAACCACAAAGAGTTTCCTTCCTTTCTATGATCTATTTAAAGGTCAAAGATGTAAAACTTCAGCCTCAAAGTAATTTCAAAATTTTCCTAATGTCTATGTTTGAGTAAATTCTACTCTGTAGATGTTATACAGAAAAATGTTTACTTTTTTAAAAGTAAAAATCAAAGGACAGATAAATCTTATCATCATTTTCATTTAGCCTTATGAAATAATTACTTAGTGGAGCACTGCCTTCAAATTAGTACAGAATTGCTCAAAAATAAATTAGGAGAAATGGAATGAAGTAGGTGAGAAATCCAGGTTGTATATAAAGGGTAGTAACTTCTGGAAAGCTGATCCAACTTGTATTAGGGGAATGTGTAGGGTCCCTGGAGGTCCAGAAAAGCTCAGTAATTACCTGTGTTACATAGTTTAGCTAACTGCCTGCCCAATGACAGTGCATTAGCACAACTTTTTTCCCAGGTCTTTTGCATGCTAAGAGTGATGTGCAGCCAAATTTTCAAAATAGTTCCTGGAAACCAGTAAACAATACCTTTACCAAAATGCTAGTTTGCAACCTTTATTTATTGTACAAAGTCTGACATAGCTAACTAATAAAAGCACTAAATTTCCCTTAATATCCAGCAAAATTTCTGTTGAAAGTAAATGCACCCGTGAAATTTATATTTATTTGGGTTCATTCAACTCTAATTCCTGCCCTCTGTTGTTTCACTGTAGTCTTCACAGTACACCTCAACTTTATAATGCAGCAATTTGAATTTATAGAAAATGTCAAGCTCATTCATACACACACACACACACACACACACACACACACACACACACTGCAATTTGCAACCTTTAATATCCACATGGCTGGTTAGTTTTAACACACAAGCAAGAAGTGGCAATGAAGTAAATAAGGAAGAGCTACTTTACACAAGTCCTCAGGTCATCCTGCAAGTATTGCTAAGAGGGGAGAAACAAAGGGAAGTAGAGAGAGGGTCAGTAAAGCAGGACATTTCTCGTACCGCCACAGTGGCTACTGATTAACTTAAAACATAAATGAACCAGCACTGTCTTCAACCTCTTTGCGAGAGAACATAGGAAGGAAAAACAAAATGAAAATTTTCAGGCATATAATATTTTTATTAATTTCCTACATTAGGGTTAAATTTACAGTTTTACTAAGAAGTTTCTCATATGTTATTTTATCTCTTTGATATCTTTCCAATTAAGACATAAGAGATCCCTAGCTCCACAAAATGTAGAACTAGATTGAGATTATTGTACCTTAGGGGGGGAAGTATGAATAGAGGATAAAGGACAGAGAATATATAAGATCCTGGCAATGATCACTGTTAAGATACCTGAAAGGAGCTGTAGAATATCAACTTCTGAATATTCCTCAAAATGGGGTAAACCTAGTCCAGGCAGGTTTGGGTTTAGAGCTGCCTGAAAACTAGGGGCAGGGTGGCATGAAGTAGATTACTCTTCTGTGCCTGTTTTACCCTAAAATCTACTGGACCTGCAATCTCTGCTAGAATTTCCTGAAACTGTGTTTGGGTCTCATAAAATGGCAATTCTGAACTCAAGTGCAAATTCACTGTAACTTTCCACTTGCTGCCAATATAGAGTGTTAAAACAGTGATGCTAGTTCTTGTGATTCTGAATAAATAGGTGCCTCTGCCAACCCAGAAAAACTCCAAGTAGGAAGCATTTTAAGATTCCCGTTTAGATAGCATACAAGATAGTTTTGAGTAGGAGTGCATGACTCCTGCCATCTCATAATGCATTTTAATTCATTAGAAGCTCATCGTGTGCTAGATTCATTCCCATTCTAACAACTTTAGGAATAGCATTCTTTAAGTTGAAACATGCTGATACCAGCTCTGTTTTAATGACAGAAACTTTACTCTACATAAAAAGTATCAAAAACATTTTTAAAATTATACTTAAGAAACACAAATTAACAAACACAAATTAACAAAGAAAAATCACCCTCTTCTACTCTTGACTAATACATTCTTAGTATAATTTTTTTTTTTGTACTGGGGATTAAACTCAGGACCTTGTGATTGTGAGGCAGGCGTGGTGCCACTGAGCTAAATTCCAGCCCCCATAGTATAATCTTAATAGTTTTTTAAAAGCAAATAATTTATATCAAAAATCCCTCTCAATAAAAATCAAAGTAAAACAGTACTTTTATTAAACTATTACCATGTTAAAAATCCCATGTCTTCACCAGTTATAAGAAACGGAAAGCTGTTGGAAGTTAATTTGTTTCTTGAGTGCCTTCAGACCCATGACTAGATTAGAAATGAGGAAAAATAGAGACCTTAATACAAGATTATTACTATAAAAACTGCCACAGGATCTGAAACAAAGCCTAATTCTCTCTCCCCCCTTCCCCCTTCCCCCTCCCTGCCTGCATCCC